ATATATAGCCCACAAATTGTCTGTGAGCTGATTTCCAGCTACAAGGAGAAAAAGAAAAACAGATTATGCAGGAGGGAGATGCAGGGAACAGGGATTGGGTGTTCTGCAAAGAGAGTTGGAGGTAAATAATTTAGCAGTAACTGTTATACTGATGTTGTGGCTGGTGAAGCAAATGTTTGTGTTTCTGTATGATATAATTGTTCATATATCTATTAAAATACTGATAATCTGGTCTATAACTCCTCCCCGAACTTCCCTCTGCCCTGTATCTTGGTCTCTCATTGGCTGTAGGTCATCGCTGATGTAGTTTTCAGTCAGAAATCATTGCACACAGCGTGATTGTGAATCGCCGACAGCTCCAGATATTTAGCATGCCAAATATTTTGCGGGCGTCGGCGACATGTCCGCGATTCCCTCAGATCGCATCTTTGATGACTCACACTGCGTAATTGTCACTTGCGTGAACGAGCACCGATTTGCCTCCGATTTCGGGCATTTGTCGGCGATTTCGCAAAACCGGTCGGCGAGTGAAAAATCGGGCTAAAATCGTGCATTAGGAGCATGCATACAAGCATGTGGGGGCCATACAAACTACCGAGTACCATTTTGATTTGCTGCAATGAAATTTCAGCAAAATGGACTGGCCTGCTGCATCATTTTTTCACTTTGATTTTCGGGGTGTCTTTGAATTCAGCCCTCTGTAGGTTGATAATTTTCATTTACATCAAACAATGTGGCATCCTTTCATTCCTAACACATTACCCATTAGCCAGTCCATATCAGTATAGATATCCAGCATGATATTTTTCCCCATTGAGATCTGATGTTTTCAAAAAACTGTTGACAATATTAATAAATACTGTAATAATAAATAATACTAAAATAACACTGTTAAGTAAAGTGATGCTATCAAGCTTACCCAAATCCTCAAGTTTTCCATGATTTCTTATTGATATTGAACATTAAATCGAAGATGAATCTCACACCTAAACACTACTTTTTGTTAAAAACTGTTTTGTCTTCAAGTGTTGTACACTAGCTGCTTATATTCATAATATCCATTAAAAACTAAGGTCAGACTGATCTAATATTATTTAATAAAATACCTGTCAATTGATTAAAAAAATGAATGACATTACTTACGTGATAAACTTATCACACTGAGCACATACACTATCAAAATAGTGTAAGATGGTGAATGTTAACTGTGACGAGTGGGGCGGGGCCGAGAGCCGTGGGAACGGAGCGAGGCCGGTGGAGTAATTGCTAATGCGCGACACCTGCGCCACTCACCGGTCTCGAGTCCCACGGAGGAGCTCTGGAAGGATAAAAGAAGGAGTGACAACAGTGTTGGACGAGAGAGGACCAGGCCTGGACTTTATTTTGTGTTTTGGTTCTGTTTGTGCGCGACAGTCGTCCGTGAGGGGCTGTCGCGCTATTTTGTGTTTATTTTATTATTAAAGTTTTCTTTGAGTGTTCGCCGGTTCCCGGCTCCTTCTTCCCGACCTATGAACGTTTGTTACATGAACAATTCTACTTGAATTCATATTGGAATATGAACATCAAATATGAACGAATTGGGACTTCAACTATGTAAAGTACACATCAAGCTCATGTTTAATGTGAAAATCAACCTACTCATTGTAACTCAAAATCAAAACTTCATAAGCAAAAAAATCCAAACTAGTGCAGAGACATCAGAGCACACAGACAGTTGCACCTCCACCAGAGTCTGTGTAATACAGTCTGCCTTTTACAGCATCTTCATCACACATACTGATAAGCCGGGCTGTTGCTTTGTACCACATTCACTCATCTCCTCATGTCTAATGAGTAATCTTATTAGAAGGCTTGTTAGAGCTGATAAAGGCACGTTCCCACAATGCAGCGACATCAAACCACGGTGTCACGGCCCTAATCTTCAGCCGCATCTGTGCTCATTATTCTAGAATGTTCTGCATTAGAAGGCTTGTTAGAGCTGATAAAGGCACGTTCCCACAATGCAGCAACATCAAACCACGGTGTCACGGCCCTAATCTTCAGCCGCATCTGTGCTCATTATTCTAGAATGTTCTGCATGTTCGGCACGTAAGATCATCAGCCATCGCCCTGATAATGATCCCTAATTGGAACATTTTCAAAGGGCTTAAGGACAGGAAAGGGAAGTAATGCCTGAAATTATTCACACTGAAAGAGGGTCTGGCTCCTGGTCGGAAACCTGAAGCAATTACAAAATGCCCTTTAATGGATTTTAATTCCGCATTAGATGTCATAAACCTAATTCTGATAATGCAAGATCTCAAAATGCAGAGCGCAAATTCCAAGTATGGGTCACCATACTTGGCACGTCATGTCGTTTCCTATCCTGTTTTCCTTTCATAATATATACAGTATATAACTCTTGGAGGGTTTGGCATGGTAATGTACATGGCAATGTTAATGTGTTTGGTCTTGGCGGAATAGATCTGCTATGCTGCTGCGGCAGAGCAAGTACCGATACTTGCTATTGCCAATACATCCACAACATGCTGCTGTGAGCATGTAAGAAATACTGCTGCTGCAAATATAACATATGTGACAGTACTAGCAAAATGAGTGACAATGAGCAAATTTTCAAAAAAATATATTTTTAATTTCACAAATAATGCATTATCTTTTCCATGTTACATCTAAACAAAAGCATTCAAAGAAAAACAATCAAATATAAAAATCCCTTTTGTGTGTTCATTACAAATAAATTGATTATTAAAACTACAAAAGCAGTTCAATCAAGAACAGCGAGTGATTCCCTCTTTTCTTTTATTATTTGATTAACATTAATGAGACAGACAGCCTATACTGTATATTACTGTAATGCATAGACCTGATATAATATTACACATCCAAAGTTTTCCCCTAACAGTTCCCCAAACATTAATTTAAGACATAACACATTATGTTTGCATTAGGGCTGCACGATAAATCGCATGCGATATTTAATGCGCAACTGACGAGTTGCGCAAAAAATCGCGCGAATATGAACGTGGTTTTGCGCAACTCGTCAGTGAACAACGGCTCTGTGTAGTTAATGCTGCTCAATGTGAAAGCCCGCAGGTGATGGAGATTTACCGCTGATTACAGAACCGGCTTTACTGATAAGATGCGCGTTAAATATCGCATGCGATTTATCGTGCAGCCCTAGTTTGCATGAACACTTAAACACTTTAATTCTGTTCATATGTGTATATTTATCGAGATTTTTAACTTTTTTGCCTATAGCTTAAAATTAGCCCATGCGCATTTTGACTCATTTTGCCAGCACGGGTCACATATATGAAATAACCCCCATATATAGCATACATGAATCACCCTGTAGCAGATCTATACAGGTGGAGCTGGGGAAGGTGGAGGATTTCTGAAGCATGCTGCAACTGCTACAACAAGCACAAGCCAAGTTTTTGAATGCTGAGCAGCGCTCATTGGAACCAATTAGCTGTGCCATGTGCTGATGTCATTATTGTCAGATTGAGTTAGACCTATAGGACTGCACCATCTAGAGTTTCATGACAGAACTTTGGACATATATGAAGAGTTGTTTTTTCCCCCCTGATATATATATATTCCCGAATCTGATTGGCTGACAGCCTTTTCCAGCGGTACGATATTCCAGTAGTATCAGCACTCTAACCATTTAACCGTTTGTATCACTTCACTTGTTGTCGGATCTATACTGGCAGCATTTGTCAATGGCAGAAGAGCGCACCCATTATAATTTTACAATATTATTATTTTAATTGTGTCATGGAATGTAGTTTTAAAGGGGTCATCGGATGCCAATTTTCCACAAGTTGATATGATTATTTAGGGTCTTAATGAAAAGTCTATAACATACTTTGGTTAAAATTTCTCAATGGTAGTGTAAAACAACACCCTTTTTACCTTGCCAAAAACAGCTCTGCACACAGCAAGCCGTTTTAGTGCATGTCTCTTTAAATGCTAATGAGCTCTGCTGACCCCGCCCCTCCCTTCCGTGGGGTGACCAGCCGTTCTCATGAGACTGTTTACTTTAGCCACCGAAATGGAAGCTTTAGTGCAAGTTCTACTAAGAAGACTTAATGCTACGTCACACATTCCAATAAGATCTAGCCAATCGTCACTCGACACGAGAAATATATAAACTCTGTACTCACCCTTCCTTGTGTTTGCAGAAACTGACATTGACGTTCCCCTCCATCCTCCCCACCACCACCAGATTGGCCCTGTCCATGCAGGGGGGTAGGCTCTGCCCCTGCCTTCATCTCGGCAGTAATAGCTGAATCTTCAACCTACAGATTCAAGCTACGGATGGGGCCTACGCCAAAGAATTCTGTTTTTTATGTCTTGGTTTTGTAAAATAAATTATTTCAAATCTTATCACCTCCCGAGTCTTTCTGGTAGAACTTGCTAATTGGCACATTATTAGAAAAAGGCGATTTGCAAAGATTCATAAAAGAACCTTATACTCACTTCTTCTGTAAGTGAGGCTGGATCACGAATGATCTGCGCCAACATAGACGCATTTAGGTAGATCAGGAGCGCATTCCCTTCAAAAACAAAGGTAATCCTCTGCATCTTCATGATGTTGGGAGTAAATGACGACTGCTATGTTCATTATTACATCCAACAACAAAACACCTCAATCGCTTAGGAGTAATTTTGGTCTACACCTGCTCCGGCTCACTCAGGGTAGGTCTAAGGCAAGGGGTTTAAACCAGGGGGGCGCCAGCACCTGTCAAGGGGGGCGCTAGCATCAGTTAATTCAGAAACGTTCCCTTGAGAATTTATGAATATGAGTAAATCTTTAGCCATCTACTAGGGGGAAATCTGACTCCCACTACTAGTCGACAGTTAGAGCAGAGTTGGCTCGAGTATCAGTCACGCTCTGTGTTGCCAAGTCCGTGGTTTTCCCACGGAATTGGTCTACTTTAACACTTGCCGCGTTTTGTAGTTGACATCACACAGCCAAGAAGCTGAGAATGGCCTGATTTGAAAAAGGGGATATTATTTTTAGGGATTAAATAAAAACCACTGGGTGGATTTTTATTATTATAGGGTGGATGTGTACAAACACTGCCAAAATGTTCAAACAGCATGTAAAAGTGAATTTTGCATCCGATGACCCCTTTAATAGATTTTTAGCTGAGAATGTAGTTGTTTAGACCTCAAATATGTGATTTATATATAAAGATAGTGCCTATTTGACAACTTGTTTAGACATTTTCAGAGATGTGAGCTCCAGGCCAACAGCGAACATCCAGCGCTCATTTACCTGCCGAGAACAGCTTTATCTCAGCCAGTCCTTTGGGAATTTGCTTCTGGCTCTTATGCAGATGGTGTTACACAAGCTATAATTTATTTTGGTTATATTAAATGGGCAATCTTTGGTCTTATTAATCTATTACTTGTTCCAGAGCAAATCGATTTGGCTTTAGGGCAAAGTTAAGTTTCATATCTTTTTATTTTTATATAATTAAATCCTGTACTAACTAGAGTGCTGCTTTTCTACTTATGACAGAATTGTTTGCTTGTTGTTATTTCTTATTGTACAAACTTGTTATACTTTTATAATGGCTATTGTTATTCTTTTATATATTATTGTTCAATAAATAATACTTTATATAACTAATATGCTGTATTTGAAATTGAGAAAGGGACAGTTAGTGGTTATAATTTTATCTTAAGAGAAGAGAAAGTTGCTCTATTACGACTGTCTATGAGTGAGTCGCAAGAACTTTTATATTGAAAGGGACTGAAACAAGGACATTATTATTACGTTACACAGCCTTATAAGATGCAACCATAGGGATGCAACCAACAAATGCATTGACTAGCGCTGTCATGGGAAATCCTCTTGACTGTTAAAAGGACAAACACAATGATATCGCTTTCCTCAGTGGACATTCAAACTGATTTTGTTATAATGATATAAGATCGACCTGAAGAATGAATGCTGGTATCAGATGCAGGTAATAGACTCACTCAGGTGATATCTCTCTCATAATACTCTACATAATAAAATAAGCTTTTAATGAAGCGACTCAACATTCCTTTGTTACTAGTTCTAAAGTGACGTTTTCGAATTGGTAACAGAGGCTTGGGCTCAGCTGTTAAACTGTAAAACTGAGATTTGAATCCGTGGCGGAAGGAAGTAGTTCTGCACAAATAAACTGGTTATATATTTATGTTTCAGTATAATTACGCACGCTATACCAGGGGCGGTTCTAAACCCTTTTTAGGTGGGTTTCAGCCCCACTATCTGTCACCTTAGCCCCCCAAAACTATCTTAACGATCAGGCCAGTGCTGCTTCCTCGAGAAAGTTTTTCATTCTCACGTGTTTTAAGTCTTGTCAGTTTAAACCTTAAAGTGATTTTAAGCCATTTAAGCCCAAGACATCTGAATGCGGTACTCACGCACTGTGATAGAGCGTTTCTATGCACACCGCTCACACACCTGAAGTGCACAAACAGATAGCCTTCTCAGACAGCAGGTAAATACCAATGGCTGTCTTGACAAGTATCCTTGTAAGCACAGTTGATTGTTTTAAATGAATGTAAACAGTAAAGAAAATATCAAATGTACATCAGTATAACGGATGCGTGCATTTCTTATGTAAATAATGTTAATCAAAAAGAGCAAAAGAAAAATTGTTCGCTGCTTTAATAGCTTTAATGGATATTTACTTTTATGTTAATGTTAATAAAGTAATTCGGTGTGACTACAGTAATACAGTAAAAATAGGGGGGTTGTTGGATGTTGGGGGTGCACGAGTGAAATTAGACCAACTTGGGGGGGGGGCGCATGTCCTAAAAGGTTGAAAACCCCTGCTTTAGATGGCGAAGTATTTTTCACAAATAAATAAATATTTAATATAAATATATTTAAAAAGGAAGTAAACACTGTAACCAACAGAGCACTCAGTATTCTGGGAAGTTTGTGTGCGTTCTGAATCCTATTTTTTCAAATAAAGCTAAGGTAACATTCATTTTACATACAGCACACAGTGAAAATGACATGAATATGGGCAAATGTATAAAGCACAGCATAGTTTGAAATCACGAATTTATTGTTTAAAGCAGTGGTCGCCAACCCGTCTATCGCGATCGACTGGTAGATCTTTATCACTTGTCCCAGTAGATCCCGAAAATAACAGTAAAATAAGTACAAAAATGCATTACATTTCTGGTATACACACACACACACATACATATATACATACATACACACACACACACACACAAACACACACATAGTGTATATATATATTTATTTATATATACCTAGTTAAAACACTAAGACTTTTTAAGGGAATTAAATACTAGAATACTAAATACCGGAGGCACTTCAGGAAATCCTCTTGACTGTTAAAAGGACAAACACAATGATATCGCTTTCCTCAGTGGACATTCAAACTGATTTTGTTATAATGATATAAGATCGACCTGAAGAATGAATGCTGGTATCAGATGCAGGTAATAGACTCACTCAGGTGATATCTCTCTCATAATACTCTACATAATAAAATAAGCTTTTAATGAAGCGACTCAACATTCCTTTGTTACTAGTTCTAAAGTGACGTTTTCGAATTGGTAACAGAGGCTTGGGCTCAGCTGTTAAACTGTAAAACTGAGATTTGAATCCGTGGCGGAAGGAAGTAGTTCTGCACAAAAGAGGGTTTTCTCCGTTCTTGTCTCATTTTTATTTACACACTTGTGCCATCGAACTGTTGTATAAAAATATCACACTCGTAGCCATGCATGCGATATGGCTGTATATCAGCACGCTGTGATTACCTATGGCCGAATCACAGCCATGCTGATATACACAGCCATACCGCACAGCTACTATATATATATATATATATATATATATATATATATATATATACACACACACATCTCTCTCCATAAATCACATGGA